AACACCATGAGATATCTTACGATGAACAAATCATAAATAATATGTAAAACTAACAAAAACGATTTGTCTGGAAAAAAAATCAAAGTGGAAGATCTATAAGCATATTACAATGTTCAGAGTGTTCAAAAAAAAATACAGAAGAAATAAGGTATGTGACAAAGGTGTAAAATATAAAAAAAAAAAACAAGAGCCTGGAATAAAATATGTGTGTGGAATGTGAAATGTGAGCTAGAAAAAAAGTGGAGGACCTAATTACACAGATTACGGAAAACAAAATTAAAGGGAAACTCCAGTGCCAGGAAAACAATCCATTTTCCTGGCACTGCAGGTTCCCTCTCCCTCCCACCCCCCAATCCGCGGTTGCTGAAGGGGTGAAAACCCCTTCAGTAACTTACCAGAGGCAGCGACGATGTCCCTCGGTGCTGCTTCCTCCTCCGCCGCCGCTCCTCCTTCTGACTGCGTCGGCCGGTGGGCGAGACTGATCCCGCCCACCAGCCGGGGAGACCTAATGCGCATGCGCGCATGCGCATTAGCGCTCCCCATAGGAAAGCTTTGAAAATGCATTTCAATGCTTTCCTATGGGGATATGAGCGAACCAGGAAGTGCCCTCTAGTGGCTGTTTAGTAGACAGCCACTAGAGGTGGAGTTAACCCTGCAAGGTAATTATTGCAGTTTATAAAAAACTGCAATAATTACACTTGCAGGGTTAAGAGTAGTGGGAGTTGGCACCCAGACCCCTCCAATGGGAAGAAGTGGTCTGGGTGCCTGGAGTGTCCCTTTAACCCCTTAAGGACCAAACTTCTGGAATAAAAGGGAATCATGACATGTCACACATGTCATGTGTCCTTAAGGGGTTAATAATGGACAGTTTGATGTTACAAAATATATGTACATAAAAATGTAATATAATAGGTAGAGTACCAAAAGAGGCTCTTAGTTGCAGAATACAATAATTAAATTTTTGTCTTTTCCCCTATATACGCAGATGTGGTCCTTCCTTGCATGTGCAAGGGGTCTGATGAAATGTATTCACCAGCTACATGAGACAATTGTTTCAGTTTAAAAGACACATTTTCTCTGTACCTGCCAGGGTTAAGTTAGACTATATCATATTATGTATTCTACATCCCTATTCATATACATATTAGGTATGGAACAGATGGCAATTTTCTATTATGTACCATGAGAAGTCTGGAATGTGCAGTACAGTGTGATTGGGGATAGCGTCCTTATATGACCAGAGTTTAATTTAAAAGTTAAGATGTAATTTTGTCTATAAAAGAACAGTGGACAAAAGACCACGTTCTCTTCGATCTTCACTCTTCTCTCCGGGTGTGTCCCTGACTTGCTGATACAAAGATGACTACATCAAGATCTATCTCTCTGTAATGTCATCCAAAAATACCATCTGTATATGATTGCTTGCTTTTGGAGTAGAAAAAATTTATATTTTTTATAAAGAATGTCAGATTGTGTATTAGTATTTTTGGGTGATATAGTTATTACAATATCCGTGCAGTGTTTTTATAACGTCAAACACAATAACGTTACAGTAGTAAATCCACCAAGCATCAAACCATCACAAACACCTATTTATTATCTGAAAATCCAACCAAGTCAAAAGATACACTAAGAAAAAGTTGTATTTTTTGTCTCCTTGACAAAAAGGTGGAGTTAAGCCCCCAGCCATCACTAGTGACAACTGAGGGGAAAGGGCTCTCTCTATGGAGGATTCCATGATCTTGTAGGATCCTCCATAGTCCTGAGTATTGTCCTGAGTACTGCATGTGCAGGAGTACAGCACTGACTCAGGCTTTTGGCAGCTGAAGCGCCAGGAGCTGAAGAGGACCAGAGGGCATGGACGTATTAGCCGCCAGGCAAACAAGGCATTTTTCAGGGGGCGGCAAAAAACGCCGCCCCCAAATGCCCAGGGCAAATGCCTTGTTAGCCTTGCGGCTAACTGACATCCTGAGCGGGTGGGCGGCTGGCGAGGGAGCTCTTCCTCTGAGCTGACTGCTCAGCTCCCTCGCGCCGCAGAGTGAGGCTTGGAGCCGGAATATGACGTCGCGGCGCGCGAGGGAGCTGAGCAGTCAGCTCAGAGGAAGTGCTCCCTCACCAGCCACCCGCACAGCAGCCAGCGCCGCCCAGCCTGACCGGCAGCCACTGGACCACCAGGGAGAGAGAGACCCCCCCAGAACTCCCAAAGGTAAGGAGGCTGGGGGGGGGGGATTAAAAAAAAAAGTTAATGTGAGTGATTGTGTGTGTGTGTGTCTGACTGTGTGTGTGTGTTTGACTGTGTGTGTGTGTTTGTGTCTGACTGTGTGTGTTTGTGTCTGACTGTGTGTGTGTCTGTGTATGTCTGACTGTGTGTGTGTTTGTGTCTGACTGTGTGTGTGTGTGTTTGTGTCTGACTGTGTGTGTGTGCTTGTGTCTGACTGTGTGTGTTTGTGTCTGTGTGTGTGTATTTGTGTCTGACTGTGTGTGTTTGTGTCTGACTGTGTGTGTGTGTTTGTGTCTGACTGTGTTTGTGTCTGTGTATGCGTCTGACTGTGTGTGTGTATGTGTCTGACTGTGTGCGTGTTTGTGTCTGACTGTGTGTGTATTTAGAAGGTGGGGCGGGGGGAAGGGTTGGGTGGGGGTGGCGTGGGGGTAGGGGGGCGCCTGAGTTTTGTCCTGCCTAGGGCAGCACAAAACCAGGATACACCACTGCCAGAGGGACAGGTTCATGTAAGTATAACTTGCCCCCCTGGGCCACCAAATTATGCAAAGACCTCAGAGGGTGACAGGGGCACCTCAAGACATCATATATGTAGGGAATTGAGTGTGTAGGTTGTAGGTCTGATTGTAGATCTGTGTGGTAATGTGTTTGCCTTCCATTTACTTGTATATTGCAAGTGACAATATGGTGTTTATAAGCAGATTGTTTTGCATAATAAATGCAAGAAATTACATGAACTAACTTTTCCCTTGTGTGTGTTTGTACTTGTCACTTGTCACAGAAAAATAAACAGTAAGAGGGTTCAAAATTTCTTACAATTTACCATAAAATCTTTTAACTGTATATTGGTAATCTGGTTTTACACAAGGATCAATAACAAAATGGCATTATCCTATGTCCCATTCAGAGTTGTTTACCACTACCAGCAAGCTAAATCTAGTCTCACACATTGAAGAACTCTGACCATTGGCTAAATGACTAGAGTAGTTTGTGCAGCTCAAGCACACCTAATGATGTGCTAATGCTTACAGGTGTGCACACTGGGTGTGTTGAGTGTGCCTTGGCACACCCTAATGCAGCCGACAAATGCCCTATATATTGTTGCACAGTGGCCCTATCCATCTTACCATCATTCCAACTAATTCCCCCTAGCTTTCATCGCCTTCCTGTCACTCCAAACCTATCCCTCCCTCCACATTCTCCTCATCCGCCTATCATCCACACCCATTCCTCTACTACTCTCAGACATCACTCCCTCTCCATGCTCCTATCACTCCCACCCATCCCTTTCTCCCATTCTTCTATAATTCCCAGCCATCCCTCATTATGTAACTATCCTCCAATCACCCCTGCCTTTCCCTCTTACCTCATCCTCCTATCATTCCCACTCAGCCCTTCTTTTCTTTAACCTCCTATAACTCTCAAGCATCGTTTCCATTCCATCGTATCACTCTCACACATGTCTTCTTCTCCCCATATTCTTATCACTCCATCCCTACTTTCCCATTCACAGCATACACATCTGCCTACATGCTCCTCACAGATCCACACACAGCAATACACACTGCTCACAGCTACCAGCAGGCAGAAACAAACATCACTCACAACTACCCATACATGAAGCCATGCACATCAGTAACTTCTACCCACATACATCACACAGTGCCACACACATCACTCACAGCTACTCAAGTGTATCACTTACATATACTCAAACAGCCACATATCACTCACAGCTACCCACATAACACACACAGCTACAAAACTTACAGCCACCAAGCACCTACATTAAAAAAAATATATATTTATTTATTTTAAATGAAGGGTTAGTTACTAAAATGAGAATTCAAGGTGAATTTCAAGTTAAGACACAAACATAAAATTACAGGAAAAGCTCTACTGAAAAATGGGTAATAAGTGTGTGGTTTATAAGGTACAGGGTGTTCTTAAAGGAAGAGAATCTGTTCCCATACCAGATATATATATATGTAATAAAAAAATAAGAAATGATCCCAAAGGCACACCACGGTTTTGCACATAAAAAGAGTATTTATTCATGCATAGAAAATACAACAAGCCATCATTATAGCAGAGAGAAAGTGCATAGTATAGGTGCTAAACCAGTATATAGTACTAAAACCACAATGTAAGTAAAGTGCTAAATGCAAAAACCCATTAAAAAAGGTATACTGACCAAGAGCAGGAGACATGAAACCCCAACGTTTCGGCTGTGAAGCTTTCCTCTTGGGGACTTCAGAGGTATATACTGGTTTAGCACCTATAGTATGGTTTAGCACCTATACCAGGGGTAGGCAACCTTTCGCACGCACTCCAGATGTTGTGGACTACAACCACCATAATGCTCTTATACCCATAATGCTGGAAAAGAATCATGGGAGGTGCAGTCCAAAACATCTACAGTGCCGAAGGTTGCCTATGCCTGACCTATACTATGCACTTTCTCTCTGCTATAATGATGCTTTGTTGTATTTTCTATGCATGAATAAATAAGTGGTGTTGAACTATGTCTCTCTAGTCTGTAATACAGCTGGGACTTTACTGTGGATGATATTGAAACATTATAAATTTGAAAAGAGGAAATAACATTTCTTATAAGCATATTTGAAATATTAAATATAACTAGTAGAAAATAAATTGAGACGAAATATAGGGACATACTAAAAGGAATGACAGGTTGGAATGCCCATAGACAATTCCAAATAAAAGGACGCATTCAAAAATTGAGAAGGGATACAAAACACGTATATACTTTGTTATCCTCCTTATAACAACAGATACATGGGGGGAAACCTGTGTGGAATCAGCTAGAGCGAACGTGCGGCTAAGTTTCAGGTTTTATTTGTGTTGAATCTACTTCCTGATGAGTTGCTGTGTCTCCGCCTATCGGCATTGATCTATTTGCAGAGCACATGTATCTGTCTGGCGGCGATCTGTACCAGAGAACTGAGGCCGTAAGTTATATCAGACAGGAAGTCACATGGAATCCTGAGCTGCCATTCTACAGCTCGACTTAAACCGGGTAAACGGCATGGAACGCGGCATTCCAACGTTGACTAGTAACTGCTCCTTCTCCCACAGGGCCATTCCTTGTGCAGTCAGGCTCTACATCTTACTATTGGTTCTTTTCATTGTTGTGCCAACAGGGATGTAGGAGCGATGCAGGAAAATTAGCTATTTAATGTTTTTTAAAAAAACATTTGTTTTAATAGGTTCTGCCTGTTTCTATATCGCTATATGTAGCATTATTACATTCAATGCATGCATATTACATTCAATGCATGAAAGGCTAATAGTTTAAACATTTTTAAAAACAAAACACTTTCGTTGTGTTGAACACACACACACACACACACATACCTCTTACTGTACAGTAACAAGCTATGGTTCTGTCTGAGACAAACACGTCTAATAGTAAGATCAAAGAATACAATCTCAAAATATATTGCTAACATGTTTAACTGTTCGCTATAATATATATTTTTGCAAGATGTATTTGTGACATAATGCAAACTAAGCAGCTAGGCAGTATGCTGTCAAAATATTACAAATTTTTTAAATATATTTTTCATGTTTGCAGAAAGAACTTCACATGCTATCTATCTATATATATATATATATATATATCTCATGTCTAGTTGTTTTTGCTGCAAACATGTATTTCTTATTGGGTTAGGGGGATGCTGTCATTCTACTTAAAGGACCACTTCAGCTTAATGAAGTGGTCTGGGTGCCAGGTCCCTCTAGGATTAACCCATTTTTTTTTTTATAAACATAGCAGTTTCCGAGAAACTGTTATGTTTATGTTAGTGTTAATCCAGCCTCTAGTGGCTGTCTCATTGACAGCCGCTAGAGGTGTTTGCGTGCTTCTCACTGTGAAAATCTTAAGGACGTTTTTTGTCGAACGTACCGGACACGCGCGCAGTCCTTATGGGGTTAAACCAAGAGGGTAAATATTGTTTTGCTTACTTGTGTTTTTTGGTAACTGGGGATGAGTGCTAGCAAGATTGTGAGTTTTACTCAGTGCTGCATGTATGCATGCCTGGATGAATCTGTCCAGGGCCCATACCTCTTCCGCAGGTGTGAGCGAGTGGCTTTTCTGGAAGCTCAGATTGGAAATCTGGAGAGGCAAATTGCAACACAGAGAGATTGACAATCTTGAGAGGAGTCTGCTGCTCACTGAGCAGAGTTTAGTGGGAACAGGTAGTGTAGTTGGGGGGAGATGAGACCGTTGGTGAACATGCACATAGCTGGGTAGCAGGGGGGAGGGATGAGGTAAGGTTTAGCTAGTCCTGATCTTGTGCAGCCTAACAGATTTGCCCGTTTGAGTGAAGATGTTGGGAACATCAGCTCAGAAGTAGCTGTACTGCAGGAAGCTGTTCCTTCTAACAGCCGTGGGAACAGCCCCTCTGGTACGAGTGGGGATGAAATTGCAAGAAGTCCAGACAGGTTGGGGTGGTTGGGGACTCTATTATTAAGAAAGTAGATAAGGTAAACTGCCACTCTGATCGTCTCAACCGGACAGTTTGCAATCTCCCAGGTGCTCAGGTCCGGCATGTTGCAGACAGAGTGGAGGGATTATTGGGAGGGGCTGGGGATGACCCAGCTGTCATAGTCCATTTGGTACCAATGACAAAGTCAGAGGAAAATGAAAGGTCCTAAAGAAGGAGTTCAGTGAACCAGTGGCGGGCAAATTAGAACGTTGGAAGCGATCATGATCACTTCCAGTCGCTCTAACGGTATTGTAGTGATGCCTTGATGTCCAGGCATTGTGCAGTACCCCTCATCACTGCCGGGCCACCGGGTGATCGTTCCCCTATAGCGATCACTTCCGGTTTGCCCCACATGGCAGGCTTCCGATGCTTTGCCTGTATGCTGAGTGCCTCAGTAAAGAAGAAAAAAAAAAATTAAACCCTTCTCTCCCTCAATATGTACTTAACCGATCGCCGCTGTTCCCCCGCCAGCGATCGGTGTTGTTCTTCTATGTGGGTGGGGGGTACTGTCTGACAGCCCAGATAGTTCCCCCCTCTGCAAACTAGGACCCCCAGGGGCCACACACAAATCTATCTAAGAAAAATGAATACGTTTTTAAAATAAAACAGCAAGGAGAAAAATATAAATAAAAAAGGGACAAGGTTTTAAATAAATCAACAAAGATTAAAAAATATCTATTAAAAAAAGGGGGGGGCAGGAGTTTATAATAAAAAAATAAAAATAAACCTGCTTTTTCACTTTTAGCAGAGTCACTTGGTATTACCTAATACTAACCACAATACACCAATTCTCTAAGAAACTCCAGTGAAATCTGATTTATCCTAAACATAGAGTTACTCATTCATGACTGTCTTGACACATTGGTAAGAAAGTCATTCACTACAGTGAGAACTGTCAGGAATTCAAAGTGAATTTCAAGTTTATGGCTACAAAAGATGAATCGGGGGAAAAAAATCTCCAAGTCAGCTATGCTTCCAGTTAAGGTATTTTGGTCTTAAATTTGATATTCACTAGACTTCCCAACAATTCTCATTTTCATGAAAATCTTGTTCGAAACCAAATGCCTAAATTACTCCAGAAAAAGTACAAGTTGAAATAATGTTTTGTTTCCATGGTTCTAACAAATCAGCCGAATTGTGGTTCACAGCCACAGTTGGTTCTTCTCTTTACACTTTATGTATTTTTTTTTTTCTCTCCATGCACCTTTATGGTCTTTCTTAAAGGACCACTATAGTGCCAGGAAAACATACTCGTTTTCCTGGCACTATAGTGCCCTGAGGGTGCCCCCACCCTCAGGGTTCCCCTCCCGCCAGGCTCTGGGGAGAGGAAGGGGTTAAAATCTTACCTTTCTCCAGCGCCGGGCGGGGAGCTTTCCTCCTCCTCTCCTTCTTGCTAGCGAAGTCATCGGCTGAATGCGCATGCGCGGCAGGGGCCGCATGTGCATTCAGCCAGTCTCATAGGAAAGCATTCATAATGCTTTCCTATGGACGCTGGCATCTTCTCACTGTGATTTTCACAGTGAGAAGCACGCAAGCGCCTCTAGCGGCTGTCAATGAGACAGCCACTAGAGGCTTTAGAGGCTGGATTAACCCTCAGTGTAAACATAGCAGTTTCTCTGAAACTGCTATGTTTATAAAAGAATGGGTTAATCCTATCTGGACCTGGCACCCAGACCACTTCATTAAGCTGAAGTGGTCTGGGTGCCTATAGTGGTCCTTTAACATTGACAAAGCTTTTTGCCATATTTACCTTGCATGATATATTTTTTCCTTTTGTTAAAGGACCACTCTAGGCACCCAGACCACTTCAGCTTAATGAAGTGGTCTGGGTGCCAGGTCCAGCTAGGGTTAACCCATTTTTTCATAAACATAGCAGTTTCAGAGAAACTGCTATGTTTATGAATGGGTTAAGCCTTCCCCCTAATCCTCTAGTGGCTGTCTCATTGACAGCCACTAGAGGCGCTTGCGTGCTTCTCACTGTGATTTTCACAGTGAGAGCACGCCAGCGTCCATAGGAAAGCATTAAGAATGCTTTCCTATGTGACCGGCTGAATGCGCGCGCAGCCAGCCGACGGGGAGGAGAAGAGGAGGATCGGAGGAGGAGAGCTCTCCACCCAGCGCTGGAAAAAGGTAAGTTTTAACCCCTTTCCCCCTTCCAGAGCCGGGCGGGAGGGAGACCCTGAGGGTGGGGCACCCTCAGGGCACTATAGTGCTAGGAAAACGAGTATGTTTTCCTGGCACTATAGTGGTCCTTTAAACGACTCAAGTAGATTACATTATTGTTGCTCTTCGTTTAATAAAAAAATAAATTACAAAATATCCATATTTTGGCTTTGTTTTTTTTGTTTTTTTACTCTGATACTGTTTTCTTTGGCTCTTATTCTTACAGTTTTAAAAGACCGATATTTGTTTTTAATATTTGTTCAATATCAATTTTTGTTTGTTTTTCAAGTTGTGGCACTAGTTCCATTAGCCATTTACTTTTTCAGTTATTAATTAGCGAATGCAGAATCCAAGCAATCTTGGGCAATATCCTTTATACCCTTATACCTTATATATGGATCAAAGAATTGCGAGTTGAAACTTTTTTTCAGTTACTTCACTTACAGTGACTGAAAAGAATGTCTGTGGTATGTTCTTGCACATAATTGATAAGATCTGCGGTTAGTCCGCCATAATCATTCATAGACTTCCTATTCTTATTTTATTTTTTTGGAGCCTGAAAAATTGGAGTACATATACAAATTCTATATTTTTAAATACCCTTCGTCCCTGATCAGCTAACTGTTGAATCAGAGACTAGGGTACAGAGGTCAGGTTGGTGGTACCAGTTCCACCTAAATGTGGGCTTGAACCCAAATATTTACATAAAAAATGCAAGAACACAATAATCGGATAACTCCCCTAAAAGGAAGGGGGGACTCCCAATTAATCTGGTAATGATGGTGAAGAGAACGCCAACTGATACAAAAATATACCTATAAATTTGTCAGAAAGAAGCACTTCACTATGCACGAGGGAATCCTTTATATACTCTCACTTTTGTTTCTTTCGTTAATTTAAATGTTAACTTTTTATGGAGCTTTGTTAGTGTAGTGGTACCAGTGTGAGGGGACAGCGCATAGTTAGCTAACTTATTATTATAGAACACCCACGAAGGTGTTATGAGGAGATAGAGGATTAGAATAGTGGCGTTTTTCTAGGGGATTTTCCTCAATTATATTACTTCAACCACTGTCTATATCGATATCTAATTACTCATATCTTTCCCAACATAGTTGCTAAGCTATCTAGTAACAGATATTCCGTCTTTATTCTTATTCTATGCTATACTGTCTCCTCTATTACCCTGCATATTTATCCATAATAAGATTTTAAGGTACTACATTTATTTTGTTTTCTCTGTGAATCACCCCATGTGATATATCTCATTTTTCTAACACTTCGTATGCTTTAATTGAGATTTGGATACTGAGTTTGATCCACATAGGATGTTAGGGTTATAAGCTTTTTGGAGACACTGATACATTGTATCTTTTCTACAGTATAGTTAATAAAGTTGCAGTGTGTCACTGTTTATGTTCATTCAGTGTCTCCAATATCAATATATGCTTCCCCTGTAGTTATTACCTTCTTTCTGACAAATTTATAGGTATATTTTTGTATCAGTTGGCGTTCTCTTCACCATCATTACCAGATTAATTGGGAGTCCCCCCTTCTTTTTAGGGGAGTTATCCGATTATTGTGTTCTTGCATTTTTTACATATACAAATTCTTCCTCCCTGCTAGTAGTGGTCATATCACCAGTGAGATGGCTGTTTTAAATGCTGTAGATTAGTATAATTTAAGAACTGTTACATGATAAAAATAAAATTGAGAATTGCCAAGGGATTTGTGTATTTTACAACAATATAACAGAACTGGAAAAATAATTCCACAGTTTCCGGTTTATGGCATAAATACTTAAGAGAGATTCAAATGCAGAAAATATGTAAATACAGAATTGTAGTCTATTAAATATAAAAAGATATCCATACCATATTGGTGTGGAGCAAAGAAACTAATCTAGCCTTGAGCATTTCTCGATGCCTTGGTGTTAAAGATTGCAAATAAATTTGCTGAAAATATCTGCTTGTGTTGGTCAGTTCAACCTGTTTACCTGTCCACAGTCCAAGGGCTGCCATCATAGAGCAAAGCTAGTGGTAAGAAGCTGTCCCCCAGTGCCACTAACTCCCTTAAAGACTTTGTACAGAGGTCCGAGTAGTACTTAAGTGCCATTAATTGCTGTCCCACTGTGCCAGGTTCTGGTACCGGTAGATACATTTTTGGTTTAAGGTTAGTGGTGTTCCCATGTAAATATAGCTTAAAAATAGTACTGTATGGACCCTAAGCCTTGCACATTTATGTCTTTTATATTTATCAAATATTGCAACTTGCCAGTAGGAGATGGTTATATGGGGCTTGGTTGCACTATCTATGGCATGTATTTTCAGTTACCATTTGTGGTTGCATTTTCTATTGCAGGTACAGAACATAGATTTGTAGCAGTACTGCGGTATCCTCTGTAGATGGCAGAAGAGTGTCGAAAGCACCCTGAATTCCCTTCAGTTGTAGATCGTTATTTTACAAGATGGTACAAGCCAGGTAAGCACTGTGCTGTTGAACATTGTCAAAACAAAAACTGCTGATGTTCTAACATTTCAACCAAATTTTTCAGCTTTTTCTTTAAAAATTAAATAAAATAAAAAAAAAATTGTAAGAACAATCTATTCCTAACACTATAGTGCCCCTGTCCCTACTCTTATTTTGTTGCCCACCCCCACCCTCCCTCACCCTGGTACATTAAACATTTAAAAACAATAAAGTTTAACTGCCCTTTTTTCTCAGAGGAGCATTGTGAATCTAATACACATGCGCAGCAAGTGCTGAGCGTCTATTTTAAAATATTCCACATAGGAAAGCACTGAATCAATTCTTGCCAATGAGGATTCCGTATCACGTGATCGCACTTTAAACGGACAGTGCAGCGCAAGTACCTCTAGAGGTGGACTTAATACTGCAACGATTCTCAAAATCTGCAATTTTTACATTGGAAGGTTAAGAGGACAGGGACTCTGCATCCAGGCCACTTAATTGAGATTAAGTGGTCTTGGTGACTATAGTTCTCAGCCAGAAGAGAAGAGAGGGTCCCTGCAGAGACAGCATTGTAGACACTGCCTTATCCGAGAAAATAGAGAGTTTACATTGCAGTCTAATGCCACCTCTAGTGGCTGTCACTCGGATAGCATTTAAAGGGACTTCCTGGTTGCAGTCCTGCAAAGATTAGATGACGGTCAATCAGTGTCTCTAAGTATGCATGGAAATGCCAAACATTGCTCATAAAGATGCATTGAGTCAATGCATCTCTGAGGAATTGATTATTAGCACAGCACTACGACTGCTGCAAGTGTGCAGTAGCCTTCCAATGCTTCCATGGGGAATAATTGGACTGGTTGACATAATCAGTAATGATGAACTCAGCCAGAAGAGAAGTGACGGCCACGGTGAGAATGGCGCACTGAGGAATAAGGCAAGAAGAAACTATTTATTTTACTTAATTAAGGGGTGGGATTGAATCTAAATAGATGTACTATTTTAACTATGACATGATCACAGACTAGGAATAATTTAGCCAGTCAAAAAGAGGAAGGAGGCAAAAATTGACCAGCATATAGTTGCATGCAGTGTCCCTAAGAGACTGACGCACTCATTAAATGTTTGGATTGTGGAACAACACTTTAACATTGTTTTGTTTTCTAGATTGTAAATTTGCTTAGGTAGGGACCATCGTCTCTTTCACCTTAAAATAACATTATAGAGTCAGGAGTACAAATGCATCTGTTTAGATTGAAAGGCCTGCAGGCTTGTGGTACAGACACCAGAACCACGACAATAATCTGTACTAATTCTAGAGACTATAGTTTACCTTTTTAATATTGGGTTCATGTTGGTTAGATTAGGCACCAAAATACAGAAAAGTGATTTGAGAGATAAACCAGGGATCTCAAACTCTGGCCTTCCAGGATGCTGATGGACAAAACCTTTCTGAATCCACAGATGGCTATGCTCCTGGGCGTTTAGCAACATTTGGGGTGGTCAGATATTATACCGGTGGTAAAACAGTGGTGTATATCTACTGGTTTCTATTGTGAATCCCTTTTTTTTATTTTGCACCACTTTTCTGAATGCAATGAGTTTTTATTAAACTTTTTATAATTGTTATTGTAGCCTCCCCGAGTGCAGTCAAGACACATTAAACACCAGGAAACTCTTGTGAAAGTGTTTTTTGGAAGAATTTACTTGAAAACATTTTATATTACAGTTTTTGAATGGATCACTGAACCATTTTACAGTAGAACAGGTCACTAAATTGATACCATGTACATAATTTGGGTCCCTGTCAAAAGTTGTGAACCAATGGTTTAAACCTTTGTTTGTCATGACAGAATGGATTTTCCTTTAGTGCCATGTAAGAAAACGTGACCACAAGGAAATGTGACCACATCAATGATGCATTCAAGAGACATTGCTGAATGCAGCAAGTTTTTGTTTTTTTTAATAATTATTTTATTCTAGCATAATCCCACGTTACATGGCTAGCGTTGGAATTGGTCTGCCAGCAGCCACTGTGTTTTCCAATACAGCAAATTATTCCAAAAATAAAAGCCCTAATTCTTTGAACTTTGTTATCAGTACAACTTTGGTGTTCTTTTCCAACTACATTTAACACAAAACTACAATTCTACAAATATTTATGATTGAATACCAAATCTGCTTTTTACTGCAATGTCTATTATGGAAGTCTGTTTATTTGTCTGTCTTTTTAAGAGTAGTGTGTATCCAGAAATCAAATGGAATATCAAATACATTTTTACATTTCAGTCTTTTGTTGTTCTAAATGTTTATTCTGTCCTTGCACTATGCATTGGTAATTTAAAAAATAGCAGGATGTGTGACCCCATACCAAAGGAAAGCCACTTACCTGTCACTTTTCTTGGGTGTCGGAAAGGAGGATGGGGGCACTGTTTTGGGAATTATGTTTTAAGTTTTTGCTTGAGCTTGGTTCATTTAATTTGAGACTTATGAATAGCTAGCCAATCTGTACGCTATTTTGCTTGGACACCAATGAACAGTCACATAGTGAGTCATTGGTTATAACACATAGTTATTTTTCATTTGTTAAAGGTTTTCCAAAAGTAAAATGAAGCTGGAATGTCTGTCATTTTCTAATGTACACAATGTCTCGAATTGTCGATCATCAATGCAATGCACTATGACAACTAAATTTGTAGGGATTGGTAAACAATCTTTGACAATCCTAATAAAAATAGTTTTAATAAATCTATATACCTACTGATATGTTTACATTTGGTGACGCTTGCTGAATGCACCCAGCACTTTATGTTCTGCTACAACCTGAGCGCAAGGAATAGTATATGTTTATATTCTGATTAACAATTACTTGCTTTGTAAGCGGTCTTAGTACATGTGGATTACTTCATAATGGCATCACATTGCTTTCCAGGTAAAACTTTAAAAGTAAATTTATACAAGGAGGACATTGTATTTATAATTTAATATATAGCAAAGGGAGACCTTTACACTTAATGATTGTCTTCACAAAGTTTTGCTTATTTGGCCATTGTGACAAGTTACTTGTGCACTGTACCAAATCTCTATGCACATTTAAATAACTGAGGTTTTTAGTTTTACTGCAATTGCTGCTTCTAAACCTGCTGTAGTATAATATCATGGTTTTTATTCATTTATGGCATCATTTGTCTTTCAGATGTAAAAGGAAAGATTTCTGAAGACCACTGCATTTTGCAACATTCAAACAGGTAAACCATTCTAAAAAAAAATAAAAAAATAAAAAATGACTGGTGCCAGAGGAACCTGGGTGAATAATCAGACTGTACTAAAATGATTTGACTACTTACTGTGGGATGGTGGGATGGTACTAGAGCACTCCTGATACCATGACCCCTCCAGTGGCTGTTGTGGTTATTGTGCTGGAATGCTCATTTAATTTAGCTCCTCTTTTGATAGTGAGTTCTGGGCTAAAGGAGCTGGAGCAGTAGAATCTGCATCTCTCTCTTAATATCACTACATGCAGTGATAGTGTTATGTATAGTCCTGAATTAAAATACATGTCAAGGCTAACATAACATTAGCGGTCCATGGACTGTATAGCATCATGGATGACATCGCGCCTTGCAGTAGGAAATTTGAATATTGTAATATACCATAATATACAATTTTTGATATCACATGGTAAAGATTATTATTTATGCTCTTGAAATGGAGTATATGTCTACTTACAGAGGACAAGTACACTTTGCAATTCCAGCACTCGTCCTTGCATGGTCTCTTACAGAAAATGATTGGGTGCATATCCAAGGAATGAAGAGATGCACTCGCAGGTCTTAATAAATGGTTATATTTACAGTTTATAACCAAGTCGTGTTTCGATCCCACTGGGTCCTTTTCAAGGTTCACAGGGTTATTCACTTAAAAATTACTGAATTCCGACCACATTGGCAATTCACAGATTTCCAAACAACGTGAGAAGTCAGTTAGTCAGTCAGACTGATTCTGTATCATTCATGCAGAAGAGTTAAGAAAATCCATAATATCCACACGTAAACCAATATAAAGCACAGAAATTGGACATTTATCAGCAACCAGATGTATCCGGCACAATGCACATTTGCAAATTATCATTCACTTGCTTTTTACAAGCGAATTTATAATGTGAAGTACAACTTGCACACTGGTTGCACTAACAGCCAGCAGACAAATAGTTGGGAGGAAAAAAAAAAATCTGTGGTGCAAGGGATAATTATGTAGTGGGTGTACACATCACTTAGTAGCCAGTCATCGCATGAAAGAAATTTTTATTTAAAAAAAATACAATTTTTTTTTAATAGAATTCTTAAAAGGTGGACTATATGGTTTAAAGGACGAGTATATTTTCCTGGCACTATAGTGCCCTGAGGGTGCCCCCACCCTCAGGGTCCCACTCCTGTGGCGCTGAAGGGGGAGGAAGGGGATAATCCCTCTGCGCTGGGACTCTCCACCCTCATCTGCTGTCACCGGCTGAATGCGCATGCGCGTCAAGAGCCGTGCGTGCATTCAGCCAGTCCATAGGAAAGCATTCTCAATGCTTTCCTATAGACGTTGGCGTCTTCTCACTGTGTAAATCACAGTGAGAAGCACCTCTAGCGGCTGTCAATGAGACAGCCACTAGAGGCTGGATTAACCCATAGGTAAACATAGCAGTTTCTCTGAAACTGCTATGTTTACAGAAAAAAGGGTTAATCCTAGCTGGACCTGGCACCCAGACCACTTCATTAAGCTGAAGTGGACTGGGTGCCTATAGTGGTATTTTAAGCCCTCCAGTTGCTATTTACCAGGTGGTGCATGTCTCCTAAACATGTAAAACTAAATGTTGATGGAGCCTGTGAAATAACTGTGGGGAGACACATGGTTGAAGGCTATTCTGAAATTCATGGGAGAGTGACAAGTGGGTGCCCTAATTATAATACTAAAGGGGGAGGAAGACCTAGTGTCTCCCAAAAAACATTGACAAAGGGTGGGGCCCTTTTTCCAGAAACTGGACAGCAATGGCATTGCTAATTTTAAACATTTAGCAGACATGACACCACCTCTTGTATGGCAAGTGCGGCATATGGAGGTAACTTATAGCTCCATTGTAGTAATATGGAGGTCTTATTGATCTTAGTACCATTTGTATTTTATTATTTTTTGTATTTATTTTTAATGTGGTTGTTGGCTGCTGGTACTGCCAATGGGCAAACATGGTTTTTGTTTTCTTTTTGTGTTTTTTTTTTTTTTTGGTTAATCCTGGGCCAGATTTGAAGTCTCCTTGCATGCACAAAATAAATAAAAATTGTGTGTGTATATATATTATGATTTAACTTTCTATTTTTTTTTTTACATTTTTAAAACAAGTGTATTTTAGTATAAATAACAGATAATTATAACTTCTACATTACACGTTCTGTACATGTTTTATATTAGAAATTGGCTAAGTTGTCTATTTTATTCATACCTTCGTACTCAAAACAGGACAATGTAGATACAGCTCTATCACAGATTATGATTTCTTAGGCAATCTCAGCACTGATTTCAAACTAATCACATTGATTGTGTGGAGTTGTGTGTGTGTGTGTTGTTAAAAACATTGATGCCCCTCTAGCTAACTTAAAATCCTGTTTGCATGCAGATTCCCCAAAAATCACTTACATCATTTTATTTTTCCGTCGCTGAACCATGAGCTGTGGTGTGTAGAAAGTCAGCCTGGGAATTCAGGGCAAAATAGTTGTAAAACATTAATTGACCCTCCAAGACATAGTTTAATTTCTGTATTAATTTTCTTTCCTCAGAATTTGTGTTATCACGCTAGCAGAATGCCACCCACTTCTTCAAACTGGAAAAACTATTCAGAACATCAATTACCAGATCAGTGCCAACTGCAGCAGGCTGCAGAACAAAGTGTCTGGGAAATCCAAACGGGTGAGGACTTGGCATTTTTTTTCTTCTTTCAGCTCATGAGACATTCAATCTACTTTCGTGTAGTTTATAACAAAAATGCTTATGAATTGTTTCAATCATCACATTGTTTTAACTAGTTTTCTAATAATTGGCTACAGAACTAACAATATATTTGCTCTTCAAAGAAATCATGAGCTTGCTGTCAGCTTAGTTAAATATGGAATAAACTGGAGGAGGTGTTACATGGATATGGACAAAAAGAAAGCTAATTTCAAGAACCAACCTATTAAAGCTTGGTAACATACCCTTGTATTGCTTACTGTCTACTCATTTTTGTTCTTTAGCATGTGATATTATTCAACGCAATGTGTTCTGTATTAGAAACATACTTTTTTGGTTGTATTTTTTTCTTGAACCTCGAATGCAGCTATAAGGCCGCTCCCAGACTTTCTTGTATCAATGATTTTTCGCTATCATAAGATCCTTATGAGTTGTGTGTTCACACAGCCTGCAACAGCCTGGAACATGCAGCTCCAGGTAGCAAGGGTCTGTTTCCCTGTTCTGCAGTGCATATGTTATTTGTGGCTTACACAGGCGCAAAACATAACACGGTTCACTAAACTATGAACTGGGCTGTGTATGTAGTGATAAGTGTCATTACTCTACCAGATTTTAGAATAGACTATATGAAGTAGGGATCGCCCGATATTGATTTTTTATTTATTTTTTTAGAGCCGATACTGATAATCTGTGAACTTTCAGGCTGATAGCTTTCCGATATTCTGTACATTTACCGTATTTGTTTTTTTTGCAAATTTTCTTTTTTTTTTTTTTTTAATTAAGTGGTAAATGCAAAAAATATACATGTCATTCAGATTTTTTTTTATGTTTTCAAGAATATTTGTGTGTGTGTGTAGTGGATGCAGTGAGAGTATTTGATTACAGTGTGTGTAGTGGATGCAGTGTGTTTCTGTGTAAATATGTGCGGTAGGAACCTCCTTACCTTCTCTTAGTTCCCCCTCTTACCTGTCTTAGTGCCCCCCATTTCCCTTAATGCCCCCCCCACCGCAGTGTTCCTTTTCCATTCCCTCCCCTGTATTTTAGTGTCCTCCCTTAATGTTTTTCACCCACCCCCTCCCCCATAGTGTTCATTCCACCCCCTTCCCCATAGTGTTCATTCCACCCCTTTCCCCATAGTGTTCATTCCACCCCTTTCCCCATAGTGTTCATTCCACCCCCTTCCCCATAGTGTTCATTCCCCCCCCCTCCCCCATAGTGTTCATTCCACACCCCTTCCCCATAGTGTTCATTCCACCCCCCTTCCACATAGTGTTTCATTCCACCCCCCTTCCACATAGTGTTTCATTCCACACCCCTTCCCCCATAGTGTTTCATTCCACACCCCTTCCCCATAGTGTTTCATTCCACCCCTTCCCCAGTGTTTCATTCCACACCCATAGTGTTTCATTCTTCCCATAGTGTTTCATTCCACACCCCTTCCCCATAGTGTTTCATTCCACACCCCTTCCCCATAGTGTTTCATTCCACACCCCCTCCCCATAGTGTTTCATTCCACCCCCCTCCCCATAGTGTTCCTTTCCACCCTCTCCCCCATAGTGTTCCTTTCCACCTCCCTCCCATCCCCTATTGCCCCTCTCTCCCCTCCTTGGTCCCCACTCCCTGGTGTCTCCTGGGGGCGGAGCAGTGTGCACCACGGTACAGGAGATTGTCTCCTGTACCCAGCCGGACTGACAGGAAGTGCTCTCTCCGTGAGCACTTCTTTTCAGTCCGGCCCGGTACAGGAAACATAAGTTTCTGTACCGCTGTGTGCACTGCTCGGCATGGCCGCGCTACACAGTGCCTGGCAGGAGGGAGCGCTGTGCGCCTACCTCCTGCCAGTCACTTCGAAATGGTGCCCCTTGGTCCTGTGTGCCCTAAGGCGGCCGCTTGTGCCGCCTTATGGATGCGCCGGCCCACCTATTCATTATCGGTACTGATGGTGATTATCAACCGATCCCTTATACGAAGATTGGAAATGCTATTTAAAAAAACAATTATTTACCCTACAATGTTCAGCCACAACATTTAAAGCACTGACAGGTGAAGTGAATGAATAACATTGATTATATAATTACAATGGCACCTGTCAAGGGACGGGATATATTAGGCCGCAAGTGAACAGTTCTTGAATTTCATGTGTTTGAAGCAATAACAAATGGGTAAGGTAAAAGATCTGAGTTATTTTGACAAGGGCCAAATAGTGAAGGCTAGACGACTGGGTTAGAGCATCTCCAATATGACAAGTCTTGTGGGGTGTTCCCGGTTGTAGTAGTAGTTAGCACCTGCTAAAAGTGGTGCAAGGAAGGACATAGATGCCCAAGGCTCATTGATGTAGGCTAGCCCAACTGATACAGTAGCTCTTCTGTGTGATTGTATCTCTGAATGCTGCAAAATGCAATGCTAACCATGTCAGAACACACAGTGCATCACAGTTTGCTGCATAACTGTAGACCATTCAGAATGCCCATGAGGACCCCTGTCAATTGCCAAAAGCACTTTTAATGGAGTTGTGCATATCAGAAATAGACCGTGGAGGAATGTTCCCTGGGCTGATGAATCACATTTTCTTTTAGGTCTGGTAGAAAGCCAGATGTGTGTGTCTTGTTTACCTTGGGAAGAGATGGCCGTAGGATGTACTACGGGAAGATGGCAGGCTGGCAGAGGCAGTGTTATGCTATGGACAATGTTCTTCTAGGAAACCTTGGGTCCTGGCAATCGTGTGGATGTTACTTTCACATGTACCAACTACCTAGAGATTGTTGCAGACCATGCACACCTTTTCATGGCATTGGTGTTGCCTGCTGGCAGTGGCCTCTTTCAGTAGGATAATGCACCCTGCCACACTGCAAAAAATGTTCAGGAATGGTATGAGGAACATGACAAAGTTTAAGGTGTTGCCTTGGCTTACAAATTCACCACATCTTAATCTGCATTTGTGGGATGTGGTGGAACAACAAATCTGATCCATGGAGGCCCCATTTCGCAACTTGCAGTACTTGAAGGATTTGTTGCTAATATTGTGGTACCAGATACCACAAGACTCGTTCAGAGGTCTTGTGGAGTCCATGCTTTGATGCATTAGTGTTTTTTTGAGGGGGACCTACTTGATTTTAGACAGGTGGTTTTAATGTTGTGGCTGATCAGTGTATAATCCTCGGCAGAACAGATGATTTTGGGATAAGATTAGTCCCCATAATGCAGAATGAGAGACTTGTGATTAGAGGTGTGTAGCCAGACCTACTAAGTAGTGCACCTTGGGACCCTTTAAAATAATTCTAAAAAAACCAAAATAAATTGAAACATAAAAAGTCACTTACATTTTAATCCATTGTCTTTATCAGGGTTAGGCAACCTTTAGTACTTCATATGTTGTGGACTACATTTCCCACAGTGCTCTTACACTCATAATGGACATATTAAGGGCCCAAGATTGCCTAACTCTGCTCTATATAATGCATTAAATATGTCATTAAAACTTACATAGACACGCTTTAAAGAGTGCCTATTTCAGTATGTCAATTACTTCTGTTTTTGCCATTGTTCCGCGTTGAAAGATTATATGGTGTTGTGCGTACCAGATTATAAGAATGCTGTCCACATACATCTAGGTGGTGAAAGTATAAAGTGACACACAATATTTCACCAATACTGCAGCGTTTAGCACTATTCTGCATGCTGCTGTTTTTAACCCCAATTTCAGCTTCCACCATCTAATGGGTCCTGCCAAGGGTGTCCTCTTTCTCTTTCTTTTTTTTTTTTTTTAAAGCCTGGAACCCTAAATTTTTAAATTCAGAACCTTCCCCTTCAGTCTCATGAGTTCATACAATTGGACTAGCGTTTGGATGGCAATTCGCTTCTGGACAGTATTTTACTCTCCCTTAGCCGCCCTACTGGTCTCCCTTAGAATACTTGTATATGCAACATGTCATCTCCATTAAAATTAGGGGAGTGTTTTTGGCACTTTAGATGTTGTGGACCACATCTTCCATAATGCTCTCAAAACCAAAATGCTTGCAAAGCATCATGAAAGATGTAGTCTAAAACATTTGGAGTGCCAAAGGTTGCCTACCCCTCCCCTAAACTGTAACATCAGGAGCCCTAAACTAGAAAAAAATCCATTGTAAAATATATTTTGCCTTTAACATGCATTCTTTTCCAATTAAGGGTGCCCAGTTCCTTACAGAATTTGCTCCTTTATGTAGAATATCCTGTTCTGATGGCGAAGAATATACTATTTACAGGTAAGATGTTCTGCTTTTTATGAAGAGAAGAGCTACCACACCTGCCATGCCTTGCCTGTGTCCCCAGTTAAAATTTGTGATGTATTTTATTTATTTTTGTTGCATATTTTCTTTTTTTCGGTAAGGCATTAAATGCCTGTGCCCATGGTATGATTAGTGTGTATGTTCTAACAGTAATAGTCTGAATTCTAAGCACCAAAACCAAGACAGCACACTATAGTGTTTATGGTGGCAAGAGTCCTGTCACTCCATTCCATAGTTGAATCACAGTTTGGTATTTGCCTGGATGCCCCTCAGTTTAGTCACTTTTTCACGAATACACTTACAGTAGAAGTTCTCTTCTGCATTACATAAAGCAAATTTGTTAATTGGTGGAGACTCTCCTCCAACTAACATAAGTAATTGGTGGAGATTGTCAGTTGACCTTCTCAGCTAATGAATTATGTCCAAATTCGGCTAGAATTGATTTACTTATGTTGAAAGATAAATTCATGTGAAGAAGCTCTTGACCATGGGGACCACAGCTAAATATCAAACTGTACGCTCTGTAGCTGTTACAGTACTTAGACGTTCACTATTTTTAAAGTATTCTACTGCTCCTAAAATCTGTTTGTTTTCTAGTGTTTTAATGTGAACCTTAAAGGAACACTAGGGTCAGCTACACAAACATGTATTCCTGACCAAAGAGTGTTAAAACCACTATGTAGCACCTCATGCTCCCCTAAATATAGCAAAATCTTACTTTATTCCAGTCTGCTGCTGCTGGCTCTGCCCCTGATCTGCCCATTGCCTGCCATCATCAGAAGTGGTGATCTAAGCCAATCACAATGCTTTCCCATAGGAAAACATTGGATTGGCTGAGCTTGTCAAGGGGGCAGAGCCAGCACAAGCCAAACACAGCCCTGGTCAATCAACATCTCCTCATAGAAATGCATTGAATCAATGCATCTCTATGAGGAAAGTTACGTGGATACACTGAATGGCAGTGCTGCACAATATGCAGCACTGCCCCAGGAAATACCTCTATTGGCCAGTGGAAGTATCCCTAGGCTGTAATGTAAACACCGCATTTTCTCTGAAAAGACCGTGTTTACTACAAAAAGCCTGAAGGAAATCATTCTACTCACCAGAGCAAATGCAATAAGCTATAGTTGTTCTGGTGACAATAGCTTGACAGATGTTTAGATTTTCTAAATGTTGTATGGAATATCGGTGACGGCAAAAATAATCGAATGGTTTATCATATTTATACTGGCTTTGGAAGGTTTCTATGAAAATTTAATTAATTCATTGGTCTTTTAGTTGCATCAGAGGTCGTTTATTAGAAGTGAATGAGCGAATCCTTGAAAACCCAGAACTGTTGCAAGAAAAGGTAATTTATCACTTTACCCAGATATGTTAGTTACCATGTATTCTTTATATTCGTACAAGGTCAAAAAGCATGATACATTTAACAGCATGTGTGAATAAGCTGTAATCTATTGCTTGGGGAACTTATTTAGGTAGCTGTCCTTCAGTAGGAAACTAGTCTTGGCTAGCATTTGGTCTGATGTAACCATGGGAGTAGTTAGAGGTATTTTGGCAAATATAGGCATAGGCAACCTTTGGTAATCTAGATGTTGTTTTGTCAGAATTGTGGCTGAGAGTATTATGTGAGATGTAGTCCACAACATCTGGAGAGCCAAAGGTCACCTACTCCTGGGCTAAACCTTAAAGGACCACTATAGTGCCAGGAAAACATACTCGGGCTCCCCTCACCCTTGGGGCCCCCCTCCCGCCAGCGCTGGAATCTCCTCCTCCTCCTGCCGTCATTGGCTGAATGCGCCCGCACATTCAGTCAGTCTCACGGGAAAGTATTCTCAGTGCTTTCCTATGGACGCTGGCGTCTTCTCACTGTGAAAATTACAGTGAGAAGCACGGAAGCGCCTCTAGCGGCTGTCAATGAGACAAACACTAGAGGCTGGCTTAACCCTAAAGTAAACATAGCAGTTTCTCTGAAACTATGGTTACAGCAGAAAGTTTTAATCCTAGATGGACCTGGCACCCAGACCACTTCATTAAGCTGAAGTGGTCTGGGTGCCTAGAGTGGTCCTTTAACAATCTTAAATGGACTCATTGCCTTATGGACAGGTTAGAAATGTCCGAAAACATATAGTAATAATAAATCCTCTGGCACTGATTGTAGTCAGTGGTTTTACTATAATGAATTGACTTATTATATAGTGGTTCAGATACTTTAACAAATATCCTGATGTCCTGTAAGCTGGATTCTGAGTACACACTGCATAATATGGTTTAACCTTGGACAGTTTTTCAAACCTTCCAATACTAATGGTAAAATAAATGTTAAAAAAAAAAAAAAAAGTCAGAAAAAGGATGTTGCATGTCCATCTTGCTGGCTGTGAGATTGTATTTGAATCCGTAATATTTATAGGTGTTTTTTTATTTTTTTTATTTTTAATTCTCTTAAACAGGATATCTTTGCACAAGGCAGTTCCCTCTGAAAAGGAAGATGCAACCCAGACATGCAGTTAAATGCTCTTTTACACTGACCAGTGATACAACTTTAGTACGCAAGGGCAGTGTCAGAGACCGTTGACAATTGCACACATTTCATATTCTAAGTTATGCTTGGACCATGCATGTATGAGGATGATGGAGAGAAAATTACATCCTTAAATCCTCACACACCATGCCAAGTGCAGTTTTCTTAACAGTTTTAATAAAGTTAAGTAAGCGTAGTATGTCTTATCAAAGGTTTATAATAGCCAATTATAATTTACAGGGCTATTCACAAAGTGAGAATTTAAAGTGAATTTAAGGTCTAAATAGCTAAACTAGAAAAAAAGTCTACGTTACTATGCTGTCAGTTTGGCTACTCTGACCTTAAATTTGAAATTCACTAGTAAAATGTTACTGGTAAATACCTTTTTGAGATTGCACTTTATATGATTATACTGCTGAATTCTTTTTATCTTTTTATCACCCAATAGCCATCAACTGAGGGTTACATTGCAGTTGTGTTACCAAAATTTGAAGAGAGCAAAACTATTACAGATGGACTTCTATCTCAAAAGGAATATGAAGAGATTGTCTCTAGAAGAACGTGTGCAAAATCAGAAGATTTATAAATAGTTACGCTTGAAAACAGATTAATATAGTCTGTTTACTGAACTACCTCAAAAGTTGAAAGGCTCTTGTTTGTTTTTGTTTTTTATATGATTTAGAACAGTGTTTTGTCTAATGATAAATTAGAAAAAGATTGTTAAAATAAAAAGATTTTTTTACATCTTTTTCCAGATGCGTAAAATAATATTGACCTATTTTAAAAATACCCTCAATTACTCAACTTTGTATTAATCAATGTTTTCTAGTCCTTTAACATATGAGTTGTACATACATCATGCAGTTTTAATTTTATAAATGTGTGAATACTGGCTTACGTTCCTATAAAGTTATTGATAAAGAATTGCTGAATATAAATGAGCTTAAAAGCAGTTAGTGTGATAAAATATTAGAACAGTTTGTATGGGCAAACTGTGTGTTATTTAAGCTCCTCTTACATTTAATCTTTTACCACAGGAATAATTATATAGAACAATGCTACTAAATATTTTAATACTGATGTTCTATGGAATTTGGGTTAATGAGGCTTGGTTCTTTGAGAGCTACACTATATAAACAAAAGTATTGAGACACCTGAGCATTGCACTAATATGACTTATGACATTGCATTCTAAATACATAGACCTTAATAGGTAGCCCCGATGTGAGGCTTGTATACAGCTGCTCGGCAATTCCATTAAGCTTTCACCTCAGTTTTTGTGCTGATAACGCTAGTGGTAGTTTGGAACTTTTCAGCTATGGAAACTGCAAAACAGTGACTTTTATGCACCATGCACCTCAGCACTCTGTGACCCTGCTTTGTGACTTTACGTCGACTTCTGCTTCATGGCTGAGTTTCTGCTGTCCCTAAATGCTTCCACTTTCCAATAATACCATTTACCGTGCAATACCTAGCAGGGATGAAATTTCACAAACTTAGAGGTGACATCCGATCACAGTACCACGCTTGTAGTCACTGAGCTTTTCAGAATGATCCATCTATTCACAAAAGAGCAGCCTACATGGCTAGGCCAGTGGGTCTAATTGAAACACCTGAATTCAATAATAGGGGTGTTACAATACTTTTGTCCATGTATACATTAATCCAAAGATATATTGCTGTCTTTGCAAATTATTTTTACCAACATTAAGTTTTTCGGCAATTTGAGCTACAGTAGCGATTCTAGGTGATTAGACCAAACGGCTAGCCTTTGAATACCAAATGTATAACTGAGCCTTGGTTGCATATATCCTGATGCCAGTAAACTGGTTGCCCTTCCTTGCACCACTTTTGGTCGATACTACCGTAACCACTGCATAACTGGAACACCCATAAGACTCGCTGTCTTGGAGACACCATCACTATTTTGCCCTTGTCAAAGTCACTCCGATCTTTTTGCTTGCTCATTTAAGAGTGTGTGTGTTTTTTCTCCATCCATTAACAATGTTCAGGTCATAGTGGCTTTACATAATGTGCACCTGTCAAGGTGTAAACACACAAGTTGAGTTTAAATTAAAACACATAAAATTCATTCTTTACAGTGTCCTAGAAGAAATGCTAGCAAATATATAGATTTTTTAAATATTATTGAAAAAATTTGGTCCTTTTTGACAATGGACTGGCAGTGAAATCAGCATGGCTATACTGTTAGCAAGCATGTCAAACATGCGGCCCACAATGCTTATTTTGCGACCCAGCTGCCCTGGGGCCGCTTTCAGCTGTGGCTGTGACCAGCAAAACAGGAAAAATATAGAAACATAGAAACATAGAATGTGACGGCAGATAAGAACCATTCGGCTCATCTAGTCTGCCCAATTTTCTAAATACTTTCATTACTCCCTAGTCTTATCTTATAGTTAGGATAGCCTTATGCCTATCCCACGCATGCTTAAACTCCTTTACTGTGTTAACCTCTACCACTTCAGCTGGAAGGCTATTCCATGCATCCACTACCCTCTCAGTAAAGTAATACTTCCTGATATTATTTTTAAACCTTTGTCCCTCTAATTTAAGACTATGTCCTCTTGTTGTGGTAGTTTTTCTTCTTTTAAATATAGTCTCCTCCTTTACTGTGTTGATTCCCTTTATATATTTAAATGTTTCTATCATATCCCCCCTGTCTCGTCTTTCCTCCAAGCTATACATGTTAAGATCCTTTAACCTTTCCTGGTAAGTTTTATCCCGCAATCCATGAACCAGTTTAGTAGCCCTTCTCTGAACCCTCTCTAAGGTATCAATATCCTTCTGAAGATACGGTCTCCAGTACTGTGTACAATACTCCAAGTGAGGTCTCACCAGTGTTCTGTACATTGGCATGAGCACTTCCCTCTTTCTACTGCTAATACCTCTCCCTATACAACCAAGCATTCTGCTAGCATTTCCTGCTGCTCTATTACATTGTCTGCCTACCTTTAAGTCATCAGAAATAATCACCCCTAAATCCCTTTCCTCATATGTTGAGGTTAGGACTCTATCAAATATTCTGTACTCTGCCCTTGGGTTTTTACGTCCAAGATGCATTATCTTGCACTTATCCACATTAAATGTCAGTTGCCACAATTCTGACCATTTTTCTAGTTTACCTAAATCATTTGTCATTTGGCTTATCCCTCCTGGAACATCAACCCTGTTACATATCTTAGTATCATCAGCAAAAAGACATACCTTACCATCAAGACCTTCTGCAATATCACTAATAAAAATATTAAAGAGAATGGGTCCAAGTACAGATCCCTGAGGTACCCCACTGGTGACAAGTCCAAGCTTTGCATATATTCCATTAACTACAACCCTCTGTTGCCTGTCACTCAGCCACTGCCTTACCCATTCAACAATATTTGAATCCAAACTTAAAGATTGCAGTTTATTGATGAGCCTTCTATGTGGAACAGTGTCAAAAGCCTTACTGAAATCTAGGTAAGCAATGTCTACTGCACCACCCTGATCTTTAATTTTAGTTACCCAATCAAAAAAATCAATAAGATTAGTTTGGCATGATCTCCCTGAAGTAAACCCATGTTGTCTCTGATCTTGAAATCCATGTGTTTTTAGATGTTCCTCAATCCTATCCTTTAACATGGTTTCCATCACTTTCCCCACTACTGAAGTAAGGCTTACTGGCCTATAGTTGCCCGACTCCTCCCTATTACCTTTCTTGTATTTCCTGATTCTTGCTCTCCCGAGCACAAGAGGGCAGAGTGGCTGTGTGTCTTCTGAGCAGACCGGAACAGCCACTCCCTCTTTCCTCCTGCTTGCAGTGCCAGAGGAGTGCCTGGAGCTGGAGGACAGACAGCAAATCGTAAGGTAGGAGAAGAGAGGCTTGCGGAAGGGGGCAGTGTATTTATTTGAGGAAGGGAGGGGGCCAATGTATTAGAGATGTCCCCTCTAAGCACCACCTCGTCTGAGATCACTTGTGATATGTTGGTCCAGCCTAATGCTTCAGGACCTACAGCAAATGGACAGCAAATGCGTGACTCCTCCAATACAATGCTTCTGGAGAAACATCAATCATATGCTGCAGCTTCATGCTGGCTGTAATGACACAATGTTAAAGTGACAAAAAAAAAGTACAGATTTAAATAGAAATTGACACTTTTATAGATTATACTGGTTACACTACTTTGGTTTTCAAGTAGATAACCAGTCCTGCTACTTCCTGGTTTGGTTAGCTCAGTGGAGCTAAACTGAAGAGGCAGCAATTGCACAGCGCAAAGCCTTCTCATTGAGCTACACGGGGAAGTCTGTGATTGGTCAGCCACAGAAAGTCTGGATGGGGTTAGAAGACGGTTTGCGAAAGCAGTAGATAAAATATCTGCAGGTTTTGCAAGCTGTTTTTACTTATATCCCCAAATTAATAAATGCATAATTAAAAACAAGCACATTTTGATTGCAGAGTGATTTATATTTATTTTGCATTTGGGCAGTGGAGCGTCCCTTTCAGACCTTAGATTTTCAAAGGTTGTCATGAGGAAGTGCCTCTACTGTCTGACAGTCTAACAGATGTCAATATTGCTTTTTCTCTGAAATGGCAATTTTTTTTTCTTTTCTAGAGACAATAGATCTTTCAGTCTGTGCACCAAAACGAATATATTAACCCCTTAAGGGAAAATTACAGAATATATTTTATAATAAACTGCACTTAAACACCCAATATCAAAATGATACACCAGTCATTTAAGGATTGCGGGTCTGTATTGAGCTGAAAATACAAAATCAGTACATATTATTAGCCAAAGTTCTGAGCTAGCTAATGTGAATTCTATGCAAAGTTGGGGTCTGGTGCCAACATGAAGAACATTCTTGTGCCAGACTGCCAATGGTGGTATGCCTCCTCTCCATCTTGTCCCTGTCCTCCTTTCAGCCTGTCTTCCCTGTGACTGGTGAGGGGGATGGCATCAGTAGAAGAGAATGGGGACCAGTGTAGGAAGGGTAACTGTGGCCAAACTCAGTGTTCTTGAAACTTTTTTGGTTGGAGTAATCTTTTAAACGGGTTCTATGAACCTTATATACTTGATCCAGAGAAACTTTTGATTGGCAAGGGGAAAGGGAGTAGGAAGGGGAGAATCTTAAAACAAATTTAAACTATGGGACCAGGAGGCGGTAGGGCTGCAGGGAGGGAGACACAAGTCTCTCTATTATCTTAAATTACCATAAATAATTTTTCTGAGGAATAGAGGCTGTGCACAACAACTAGGATATCTGCTGTATGGGCAGGAAAAGGTTGGCAGACACCTAGAAATGTAAATGTTAAGCTCCTCCTAATACTCATCCTCTGGTATAAAACATCAATCTGCTCGCATAACCCTAGAAAATACACAAGCCAATTAACTGCAAAAATATATTTATCAAATGGGAAAGCATATACGTGTCTGGAGTGCGTTCCACTGAAGCATGTACAGTATAACCCGTAAATCCCAACCCATCCATATAGCGTATGTATCCAGTGTATCTGTGTGCTGGATGGGTAAGGACTTATGGGTCACCCTGTAGAAGGAAGAGCCGGGCCTGCTAGGAGATCTCACTTACCCCTGAAGCAGAGCCCTCCTCAGCCTCCATCGTCTCACCTTGCCCCTGGAACGAAATAAAATAATGAGTGCTTATCTTATCCCAACAAAGGTAGGCTGCCATATTCACTCCTGTTCATTAAAGATCAAGCAGGAAAATGGCATATCAAATTTCAGAGACTTTTATTGGCAAATTTTTTTTTTTTTTTAAATAAACATGAAAGTCTTTTTTAAATGAAAGTCTGAATTAGAATCTGATTTTGAACTGAAGTAATCCTTGCTAAATAAAATAGATTGCTTCACCTTAATTTAATTAGCAGTAAGAAAACAAAAAGTTCTTGGCAGATTGTTCAAATTTAAGAAAGTAATAGAAAATGTACGCATGTCATTGATTCCTGCACAAAACAATTCCCATATGGAAAAAACAAATATACAGGCTGTTAAACCGGCTGGCTGTAGCGGAGTGCAAAAGGTTCATTTAGCTTTCAGCAACTTAGTTGAAAACATTTGAAGTCCATTAGAGAGATGCAGGAAACAAGGTGAGTATAAGGATCCAATTTATAGATTATGAAGGAATTCCTGGTGAGGTTAGAGGAAAATCAGTTCCGAGTTGAGCTGGAGATTCTGAGACTTGAAAAATTAGTTAGTAGAAACATGCAAGGCACAGGAGCATGTCAAGCTGGTGTCAGCTCATTAAGAGTGCCCAGGTTCTCTGACAGGGCAGTCTTAAATAGGCTGTGGGAAACAACAGAATTATTTAAAGAGACAATAACATTAAAATACATGTTCCTGACATAGGCAGAGAACTTTGGTTATGGGAGCAGATTGCCGTTTTATAACCAAGAGAGGGGGAGTATTAGGAAGAGCCTAACTTTTAGCCTGCCTGACTTTTCCTGTCCAGACAGGGGATATCCCAGTTGTGTGTTGCCTCTAATATGGGGTGAAAAACTGATTACACCTGTTGTCAATATGCAGTGCACACTGATTACAAATATAAAATATGTACAGAATTTATATTCGGCAACCTGGAATAGAGGTCTGGGCTGCCAATGTCACATGTGCTGAGGGTGCAACTATTTTCATTTGACAAAAAGTACAGATTTTTTTAGAATTTGACACTACAAAAAAAAAAAAGTCCTGCGCTCAAACTCCCGTCACTCCTGGGCGGCAGAAACGACCATAGTACACATCAGTCCCAATGCATACAGTAAAAACCAAAGAAAACTGTTACCTGCGCTCTTCCCAAATCCCTATGCATATTTAAACAAATTGAGGTTATTTCGTTTTTCCAATGGCCATGAGAGGGTTTAGGCTTAGCCCACCTGCCACTGACTTCACTTCACTTTTGTATCACACAGCTATGTTACAATGCTGCCGCCCATCCCATGTGTTCCTTATTAGGGTTTTATAAGCATTTAGGGGTGTGTGTGTATATATATATATATATATATATATATATATATATATATATATATATATATATATATCTGTCTGTGCCCACGGCCGCAGGGGGAGTTGTGCTGTCTCTGCTCTGCTCTGCTCCCCGCCCTCGCGCGCTACTTAATGAGACCAAGGCCGGAATAGGACGTCATATTCCAGCCCTAGTCACATTAAGCTGCGCGCTGGGGAGCAAAGACACAGCTCCCCTGCGGCCACCAGCACAGACAGCTGTCTGCCCTGCACGACCTCCTGGCCGGTCGCCCACAGGTAGCAATAATGTGTGTCCGTGTCTGTCATGGGGTGTGTGTCTATTATGGTGTTTGTGTGTCTGTGCCATGGTATGTGTGTTTGTGTGTCATGGTATATGTGCGTGTGTGTCTTGGTGTGTGTCATGGTATATGTGTGTGTGTTTAAAAAGTGCTTTTACTCACTTTGTTTGCCCCCACACCGTGCTGGTCTCCCCTCGACTGGCCCTGCCTCTATGGCTGAGATCATCAAAGGATTCATCATCATAAGATTGGCTGCAAAACGCTACACCAATCAGCATCTCCTCATAGAGATGCATTGAATCAATGTATCTCTATGGGGAACGTTCAGCACCTCCAGAGCGTGGAGGCCCTGAATGTAGGTGCTGCACACTGTGCAGTACTGACACAGGAAGCACCTCTAGTAACCGTCTGAGTGACAGTCATTAGAGGTGTCACTAGGAAGCAATGTAAACACCCGAACCACTACATTAAGCTGTGTGTGTACCTGCTAGTGAGTGAGCTTGCTTGCGTGTGTGTGTGTGTGTGTCTGCTAGTGAGTGAGCTTGTGTTTTTATGTCAATAAGCTTATGAATATCAGTGAGATTGTCTATGAAGCATGTGAGCATGCTTACTGTATAATTAAACATTTTACTCTGTGTGACGGAACGCCTCTGTCAAAAGTTGCTCCTAGTGCTCGCCAAGTACCATCAGCACCGCACTTGACACCACAACCACCGCCAACCCCACGAACCGCCAGAGTTTGGTTGGGGTTTCACCGTCCTCCACCCACCCTGGATCCAAGACCGGGCTCCAGCTTCCAGTGGGTGAACCTCTCCTAAGTCCAGAGAGCAGGAACCAGGAACAAGAACAAGCTCTTACAAGAGCTTACTCTGGGAAGTATTGTGGTATAGCAATCCCCAGAGTGTAGGCAATTCTCCAATCCGCCAAACATGAGCCGAAACTTCATGAAGGTACAAGATGATCTGTTTAATGAGCACCAAATATGCAGGTTTTTCCACAAGATTACCACCCACGTGGACCTTGTGGTACACAGGACATGCAGTTACAATAGCCAATCAAAACATTACAGTACAGTCAGATACTTCCAGCCAAGGCACACAAACCCTCCCCTCTGCCTGTGATATAATTATCTCAACACAATGGGCTAACTTAATTATCACAGGCAGTTTTACACAATATTCATAACTTCCAAACCATACATGCAATTCACATAAAAGTATATCACATATTCTGAACCAGCATAAGCAGTATACAAACATATGTCAAAATCATACAAATTGGTCCAGTGGTTCAAAAGTTAGATGGAAGTCCTATTTGACCGACTGCAAGCATGGCTTTCCTGCCCAAAACAGTTCCATAGATTTTGGCAGTTAGTTTGAACGCACGAACAATACTCACGATTCTCACAACAAATATGTCATAGTGTTTCATTATACTGGAGCCGTTCTGCAGTTATGCAACTTTGTTCCTCTTTTGGAGCCGTTCTTATGATTACTGCCGAACGCCCTATTTAAACTTATAGGAATTCCTAGAGTCCATGCGGCCATTAGGTTAAATTACACAAATAGGCTTGTTAGGCTGTATGACCCCTAGAGGTCATAGGGAAGTACTGCACGTATTACCATTGATCAAATAAAAGTGTTTTTCACAAGTTAAATTCAGCAGCACCTTGTCACTATTTTCTGTCTATTTTTGATACGTTATAAACATGTCTTCATAGGTTGCCGAGCCTGAAACCCCTTTTTGCTGTACCTCTGAGGTTGTCAAGGCTTATAATTTCTGGTTGACTCGGGTTTCAATTGTCACACTCTTTAGGTGGGTTCTGTTAATTTGGTCGATTAGTAATCAGCTATGCTCTCTTGAAGTTCTAATGTTGGCCATATTATATATTACAGATTGAAGTCACTCTGCATATTCACTATCCTTCATCCTGCATATTCACTATCCTTCTTAATATGTGCTCTTAATATGTGCTGGTCCTGTCTTTCGATTCCTACAATATTACATTGGTTAGTGTTTTGGATTTGTCTTATGAATCCACATTCTGCCCCTCATTGCTTTGATAATCTAACTGTTCCTTTATGTTACTAGGTGCTAGGCCCTACTGGTTATACTACCAATTATGCTCCACCGGGTTAATTTTTAAGCATAGTCTATTAAC